CACAAATACTTTTGAACGGTTCACAAAAGTTACTGCTCTACTCTCTTACTACTCTTTCTAATGTTTAAAATTTGATATACTGTTAACATTGGGGAAAAGTGTTCCCGATGAAAAAAACACTGTGTGTGTAAGAACTGTGACGCAAGTATTGCAATCATATTTTTTTATTTTGTATTATTCACTGTTTTTTTTAATTGTGTATTTTGTTTGTTTTGTGTTAATGTTATACAATTACAACCTTTTTTAAGTTCAATATAATTTTAATTACTCGTACTTCATAGCAACACGAATACATTCACTGACATGACCGTCAAAATTAACAAACTTCAAAATTCAAGCCGTGCGGTAATATCTCCGAAAACATGCGATTGCTCCCAAATCGGTGCGGTAAAATCCCGGAAACAGCCGAAGTTGTAAAATGATACTTTCCGCAGGCTAGATGGATGTATAATTAGATATTTTACAGAAGGGAGTAGAATAATATTATTTTTGAGCAAAAAAAATAAAAATATCCCCGCTAAAAAAAGTTTTTGCAATAGCAACTGAACAAAATATTAAAATCATGGCTGCGGTAACTTTTGTCAACCAATCAGACGTAACTGTTGTCTACATTTCATATAAGTAAACAATTCAGAAATAAGAAAAATTTTATATAAGCATGTTTGTTAACCTATCTAACATAATTTTTAATATTCTAGAAATTAGCTGTAGTATAACTAATAATAAAAAAGGGTCAAAATAAATAAGAACTAAAAGTTCAGATTTTCACGAAATTATATATTATGACATGACAATTGTTTCGACAACACCGTGTCTTTATCAAATGTTGTCGAAACAATTGTCATGTCATAATATATAATTTCGTGAAAAGCTGAACTTTTAGTTCTTATTTATTTTGATAAATGGATTTTCATCAAGTAAAAGCCACCTCAGTTCAATTATATAAAAAAGGGTTATTTTTACTATTCATTTTTACTATTAAAGGCTTGCAAAATTAATCTAAAAAAAATGAAACATTGAATTTCGATACCGTGGTTTATTTTTACCAGGACAGATACCAGGCTAAAAATATCGACATCAGCTTATAAATTAAAATGTCGAAGAAAATTTTCTTTCGAGAAATTATCGTCGGAATTTAATAATGGCGAATCGTCCCCGATTTCGCGACTGTGGGGATAATGGGGAGTGGGAGGGGGAGAAGGCGGCGGTTGCGTAGGTTATCCGAAACAAAATCAATTTAAATTATTCGGTCGCGGGGGTCGCAGGGTAGGAGGGACGTCTTCGTTTTAGGCCGGTGCACGTCTTAAATCCGCTAAGGCCGCCTGAAAAGTTTTATTTTAAAATTCGGAAAGTCCGTGGGAAACGAGAGGGGGAGAAGAAAAGTTTTCCCGGACGCGTTTAACCGTTATTGCCGAAATCTAAGAAACCGAATTTAATCGATTTAAGAGATTTCCGGGCACCGAGTTAATAAATTCTTTTAAGGATGGGTGGTGGAGACGCTAACTATTTGTAATAATGACGGTCAACGAAGAGAGAGGTGGGAGTCAATTTAAAATGTTCCCTTAATATTTTACGTGCTGTTTTTGCATTTTTAGAGCAGATGAAGTACAAAAAATGAGTGAGTTAAGTAAAAAAATAGTTTACACAAAATAATGAATAACTAAAAAAAGGCGCAATAGAAGAAAATTGAACTAACCCGAGTCCAATATAAAACCAAAAAAAAAAAGAAAAAATAATGTTTTACACAAAGGCAATACTTTTCAGACAATTGCACCTCGCTATTACAAAAAAAATTAATAGATAACAAAAATAAAAAAAGAAACTGAAAATAGAAAATAAAACGAATTTATTTATCTTTTGTCTAACTTTAATTAAAATTTAGAAGGGCTTATTACACGCGGTATATTCATATAAAGCTTCAAAACGATGATGCGGGGTTGTCGTTTAGCAAGAAGTTGAATAAAACATTGTAAGATTTTTGCTAATTCTTCCGAATTTTACAGACGAACCCGTCCAAACAGAACGCACCGGCAACAATATTGACAATAACGCCATTGTAATAGAACGGGGCCTCCGCCGTAAAGCCGGTCGGTTATTTATGACGTAATATTTCTGATTTATAACGAGGCTTTCGTAAAATAAGGGGGTCGTTTTGTTTCTAAACCCGCCACGACGCCGATCGGTTGTCTGGGCGATAAACGGATGGACGAGAAAAACAATTTAATCGAAAGCGAAAATCATAACCTATCGCGACTGCGCCAATTAACGCTTAAGCCGATTAGTACGGCAACGCCACACTATTAAATACCGACGCGACGTTAGGTTGCGTTTAGGGAAAAAAATGTCCCTCCAAAGGGCTCTAACAACGTAGCGGGCGTTTGAAAGCATTCCGGAAACGGTTGTTTGCTTGAAAGGCGCCGAATATATTGAAAATCTCTTGAATATTACGCATAGCTCTGTCGTTTGAGAGGACAGATTTTTGGGCGCTTTCTTCTCAAGAGCTGCACTAGAATTTTCCAGATTCAATATGAGGGGAATTCCAATGGCGTGCGCCTGCAATTCTTCACATTGAAAAGTAATATTTGTTATTAGCTACAAAAACAACAACGATGAACAACGGGCATAGACAGTCACACTGAAAAGATGAACACGATATAATAGTTAAATAGATGACACATTAGATTGTATTTATAAACAATGTATTATTGAAGTTGTGTTGTTTATAAAACTAATAACTCTCTCTCCTATAACTCATTTATGGTTATTGCTTATTTCATAATTTGCAAATACAGTTTTATACTTTTTACATAATACCTCTCATGGAATCAATAAAATGTTATTAAATATCAATATAATTTAATTAACCATTCGTTGGGAGTTTAGTTAGTTCTTCGGGTCAATGAATTCCGCTCTTGGTCGGTTACTCCCTAGTGGTGCGCAGCTGGAGATGAATTGTAGCATACCTCCATGACATGGCCCCTCCATGATAGATTTCAGTGTTCATTTTTGATCTTGAGGCTTAGAGGTTCCCACAATTAGAACCTTCGACTGCCTTAGTGACCACCCTGTTCGAACGAGTTTTTTTTTATAGATAGTTACTTGTTTACTGCTACTACCTATATTTTCTGTGTAATTTTGCAGACATTAGTGGTTAAAAGCGCACAACTGCATCTTCATTTTTGGGTTACCATGTTTGCCTCATTCACCGGTCATATTTAATATTATTTATTATAACGTAATATTTATTTTGTTTACCGTTTTCAAAATGTTTTTGTTTTCGTTCGTGTATAATTTCGTTAGTTGTTTTTCTTTTCTTGTAAAGTTTTAAGCGAAGTTTTAAGAATCGTTTAATATTTTACCGTTATAAGATTTTTGTTCCATTTTTTAGTATAATTAGTTTTATATGTACAGTTTATTTTATTTGTTAATTGTATAGGTCTCGGTATAGGATTTATGAGATGTTTAATATTTTAAAAAATGTTTGCTACTTTTAGTACTTAAATATTTATTACAACGAGACACAGGCGTTTTGGACAGTTTAAATAAAATAATTGTTAAGAATCTTCAGTAATAATCATTTAAGGATACTTTTATTAAAATTACGATATATTAATTTTTATTAAATAGAGTTATTATAACATTTAGTTCCTACATTTTTAGTTAAATCAGTATTTAATAAGTAATATGCGTGTTTATACAAATTTAATGATATAATTGCGTATATTTTTCTACTACCTATTCTGAAATACCCAATTACTGTTCAAAACTGCTGAACCGTAAGAAAAGTGTCACTTTAAGAAGTCCCCGTTAGCCACGGTCGTGAGCATCTTTGGGACATTTCCATCTTTGCCACGGATGGAATTTGGATGTTTGCTAATTCTGACGGTCACATCACAAATCATTCAGTGAATGTATTCGTGCTGTTTTGCAAAAACGTGCCCGAAAACGAATGGTCATAAAAAAGTATAGTATGCAATACTTTGATAAACTTGTCTCGACAAATGAAACTCGTGACTAATTGGCGTTTATCAAGCTTGTTGACTATTTTGTTTCCGTGTACAAAGAGCGACAATTTATAATAATTAAATAATACATATTAAGTTGTTTTTTATTTTTCATCTGGGCTCGTCGAGATATTCGGAGTAGGAAGTTAAAAAGCAAGATAAGTTCCGTTAAAACTTAAACGCCCAAAGTATATACCAAAAAGACGAATACGAATTTCTTCCACAATTTTTCCACGATTTCGCGAGTCGTGTACTGTAAAAGGGTCCGATATTTATCCCCGGGTATTTGCCGCAAAATATACGCGACAGATATTTACGACTGCGTTATTTAGATTTTACGTGTATTCTCGCCATTTCACGCAGATTCTGAAGGCCTCGTAGCCTTCGCGGGTCACATAGTTTATTGGGGATAAATCCCAATAGCCTACCGAACGACCACCCCCTCCCCCAGTTTTTTCGAGTATAAAAATTCTTTTCGCCGGAACGGGCCGCTATATTTTCAGTATTTGACAGCTGCTCACAACCATCCATCATTTGATATTATTGGGAGGTTTAGTGTTTTTTATTAATGGCAATTTTTATTAAAAGGGTGTTTACACACACGTACTCATTCTTGCTTATTTTGAAAAAAACCCTCCAATTTTTAACGAATAAAATTTTGAATTTTACCTGAATTTTAGATGTAGCTATGTATCAAATCCGTCCTAAGAACATCCTGTATAAGAATATAAAAGCTTAATTGTTTAAGATTATTATTAAAATAGACAGACCATCCATAATAAAATCCTGCAAAATATTAAGGCTACCTTTTATAATATAGGTCATAGCTAATTACGCCTACTGTCGTATTATAACCTGTACACGCCTTGCGGTAACGGCCGAGCAAACCTTTCACAAGACATCTGGATATTTTGACCGAGGCAAAAAGCAAACATTCATCGGCCAACCGCCGAAATAACTATAAACAACAATCGTTTAAACAAATATTCGACTCACCGATGATTAGATTTAGCAAAACAAACACCGAAATATAACGGACGATTCAATAAACTATTTCAAACGTAAACAAAACCGCACCGAGGTTTTCCGACCTTGAAAAGTCATAAATAACGTATCTATTATTAAAATTTACACCACCCTGAACGAGGACTTCCATGCTGTTCGCTGGAGTGAGCGTTGCGCCTGCGCGAAATCAGTCAGCTGTGTTTGTATTTGTGTTTTTTTTTTAATTTGTTTGATATGATTAGGTTGTCCAATTAACACCATTCTTTAACGAAAAGCATTTACTTGATAAATATTTGCCTATAAAACTGCATCAATAAAATAGGATGCCAGATTCCCAGAATCAGCGACACACTTTGTCCGATAGCGGAAGCTACAGGTAAAAACCCATACAACGTCGGTAGAAATGGAAGCCGTTTTTTAAAGCTGCTGGAGAAAACTGTAGCTCATATTCTTTGGCTGCTTTTTTCAGCGATGATAGTGATAGAACACATTTTTGTAAAATTTATGCATTCCCAAAACTAATCTATTTCGATGACTTTTTGCGTTTTAATTGTATAGAAATAAGCAAGTATTTGGTTTGTTTCTGCTGTTGGGTGGACAGAAAAGAAAGAGCCTATACGTATTTATACTATTTTTTAAAAATACCAACACAGGAGAGTGTACAAATTGGTAATTACGGATTAAAGTCAAACATTTAACGCTTCTCGTTCTATGGTCCTAGCCTGGATGATCTAAATAAAATTAATGGTTGCATAATCGTTAAAACAAATAATTTCATGATTGTGGTTAGTGAATAAAAAGCAATTTCAATTTAACGTATTTATTTCAAAAACCCAGATAACTAAAAAGCACTAAAAATTATATTTCAAGACAAACGTTCACAAATGGGAAAACACAGTGATGTGGATAGTGGCATTTTCATTTGATGTTTCCTGAAATGCGCGATTTCTGCTGAAAGGCTTAACAATAAATTTGCAACATTGCTTTACCAATTGATCCACTTCTTCCCACATGAGCTAACTGAGTCCTACATAAATCTGGTATATGAAATTATCACAAACAAAATATTTTGGCTACTCACTAGAGGACCATTTAAAAAAGGAAAAATATAAAAATCACAAATTATGAAGGAATTTAATAAAGAAGGCATATAATACATATGTTAATTTATCAGTTTATCAGTAGAACTAATAAAGATGTAACCAAAATATATGTGAATAAATTACTTTATCAAGAATAGGGAACATTTTGAAACAATTTTGAATTTCGCGCTATAAAATATTTACAAATATTTAAATAAATGAGAAGCTTTGATGCAATTATTTAGTTGGCATTTTTGTCGAGGAGTCCCAACAATGACACTCATAAAAATTTACTTATAAATTGTTACATAAAAAAAAACTTTGTTAGAACAATCAGTCTTGGGTCTACCTTAAAAGTCATATAGGAAAAGGTTAAAGATCCATTTCCATGACATTCCCTGAGGGGATGTCTACATCTAACTGATCCACATCACAGACACTGTTTGAATCACCTTCTTTTCTATTTAATTCCCATTCACTTGACTGACTATTATCATCTGAAATTGGCAATAATCTACTAGGTGGCTGCCACAAAACCAAGGCCATGCAAGGTCGCTGTAGCTGAGACATAAGACAAGGTGGTATGATAGGATCTGCCTGAAGTTTTCTCATCTCCTCGCACATATAGAGTCTTTTGTGTTTTACTGATTCAGGTTCCAAGTGGGAAGGGGGAGTTTCTGAACTTATGTGAAGCTTTGAAAGGTGTTCAGCCATTTTTTCTTCCGTTATGTGTTGTTTGTTGGGTTGTAACCTAAAAAAAGTTTATTTAACATAAATAGAAAACCAAACAAATACGCCTAATACTTACGGGGGCGAGTCAGTCTTTCGTTTGCCACGAAGTGTATTTGTGAAAGTCCTGTTACCAAAACCATGATCAATAATTTCGAATGGAAATTGAACTACTTGTTCGTTGTGCCTCTGAGAACCAAAGGAAAATGTGTCAGGCACCTGTGGAAAACTAGATGGTTGAATGGGCTGGATAGGAACTTGCGGAAACGATAAATTGCTAAACGGAACGTTCGCATTGCGAAAATTAGGGGGCAATTGTGTATTCCCCTGCGGAAGGTTGCTGGGTCCGGGATAAGAATCGAAACCAAAAACAGAAAGAGGACTTTTGTGGTTAGGATCGCCAGTTATTTGATTGCGGTCCATACAAATGGTTTACCTCAAGTATCTGGTCAAAAACTTTACCAAAAATTGCACAGAAGTTTAGAGATCTCCAAAACCACAACAAAAGCTAATATATTTAGGACTATTCTTATTTACTCTTTAGACCAACAATTTACATACACCAAACGAGTACAGAAACCTGCCGTTGCAGAAACCTGACAAACATGTTTATGCGCACTGCACATTCTATAGTTTATAGCCGGCAAAAAAATTCCAGAAATATCTGGACGTTCATTATTATTACATATAATTATATGCGAATACACAAGATGGCGCCGATAGTCAGCTGGTAATAAATTTTCAAAATTGTCCAAAAAATTATATTAAAAGGCAAAATAGAGTGCAAGACACACCGTCAAAATAATACGATAAATTATTTATTGTTCAACCCGTCGAAAACTAACACTCGGGTGAGTGAGACTGCATCCCTATAGGTTTTTATAGAGGTCCATCGACGCAGATCTTTGAGCCAAGAGATCTACTTCAGATTTCTTTCCATGATGGTCGATGCAATTGCTTCAATCAAAATATGTTGGTCGAATTTTGTTTGTAACAGATATTTCTTAAATTTTGACGCAATAAACGACGTTTTCTTTAAATGGTTCAATTTTATGCAAAAATGTTTAATATAATTGAAGTTCATAAGTGAACTTTTTTAACATGCTATAAAATTAGGAATTTGTTTGTTTAGTAAATTTCTTTTTAAATTTAAAAATATTAAAATTTCAGTAAACTGCACTCCTCCTACAAGATTTTGAAAATAAGCGCTTTGCGCCGTTTTCCAGGCACAAATTCGCGAAAAAAGACTCGGTAATTTTATCTGCCAAATGTCTTTCAATTTGTTAGCAATATTTACATGAAAACATACAGGCAGAAGCGTGGAAATCCCGAAGGCAGTATATGCCAAAATAACATTTTTGAAATAATCAAGAAAACTTGTTTAAATTTACAACAATGATTATAATTGCCGTTGTTCGTAAAAACAAGGCAAATGCAGGTTACTCATTTATTACGATAGGCACTTTTCTCAGGACATGCGACGGGGCACTTACAATTCTAACGCAAAATGTTGATATATCAAAAAATGGCACATACGCCCGTTGAAATATCCACTTTTCAATTGCATTGTGTAAATTGGGTTTTATAAGTGAAGAAGACGGAAAACAGAACCTTAATTTTGGTGACCGAGGATGGCTTTGTTGGCAAGGCGTTAGTCCAGCCAACTCGACTTGCCAGTGGTTGTGGGTTCGATTCTTTCCCGGACCCTGTGTTTTAATTGTTGGAAACTTGTAAAAAAGTTTAAAAACTAGGTTGTTGTAAGGTGGCCGAATTACCAATGAAGAATTGGCCAAATTAAACAAAAACCTGGCCGAATGACCCCGGCATATAGGCTATTGTCAGTAAAAAAAAATTGTATATAAATTTAAAAAGCTTCTATTTGCGAAATGTTCAAACACCTTGTTTTCAGAAACGTAAACCCAATTTTTAAAAGATTGTACAGGGTAAATGAAAGTATAGCACATTTTTTGAAAAACGGTAAAGTGGGACAAGATATAACCGTAAAAGTAAAAAACGCTATTCATCTTAGCAATGTTATTGATTTGAGTATTTATTTAGGGCTGGATAAAATCATTAAGAAAACAAAAGGAATTAATTTTTATCGATCTTAACGATGGTTCAACACCGCAAAGGCTTCAAATTTTGCTGCCTTCCAAAATGAGTCCACAGAAGTTAACAGTCGGCTCATCAATTGAAGCAACTGGAACCATCACTTTGTCACCAAAGGGTAATCTAGAGGTGTCGGCTGATAACGTGCATCTTTACTGTGATTGTGATGTGAATGCCGGCTATCCATTTGCGCCAAGAAAACACTACTCTCCTGAATATGTTCGGGAATACTTACACTTGAGGCCACGAACTAGGACTTTTATGTCTGTATTAAGAGTTAGAGACAGGGCAGTAATTGAAATTAATAATTATTTAAACAACCAGGGATATATAAATATTCACACTCCGATTTTAACTTCAAATGATTGCGAAGGGGCAGGAGAAACATTTAACGTGGTGCCAGAGAGAATCGACTTGGTTAAGTCTATGGCAAAAGAAAATGTTTCACACGACGAGATATATTTTGATAATAAGGTGTATTTAAGTGTGTCAGGTCAATTACACTTAGAAGTGGCGGCACATGCTTTGAGCAAAGTGTTCACCTTGGGACCCACATTTAGAGCCGAAAACTCGAAATCTAGGTTTCATTTGTCAGAATTTTATATGCTGGAAGCTGAAATTGCATTTTTGACAAAGTTGGAAGATTTGATGGGTATTATAGAAGACTTAATAAAAAGTGTGACACAAATTTTAATTGACAAATGCGCAGGTGATATCGAAATGTGCAGAGGTGACAAAAGGGATTTTACTTGGTTAAATAAGAACTTTGAAGTTGTGACATACAAGGAAGCAATGAATATTTTTAAAAACAAAATGCACAAGGAAATGCCCATATCTGGAAAAATACCTAAAGAATATGAATTGGAACTTGTTGAATATTTTGACAATATTCCGGTTTTTATAATTGATTGGCCCAAGCAAATGAAACCTTTTTACATGAAAGAGTGTGAGGATGGTGAAAACGTTGCTGCTCTAGATTTGCTTGCGCCGGGAGTGGGCGAGGTTGTGGGTGGAAGTTTGCGCGAAGACAGTTATGAAAAATTGTATTCCCGAATTTCCCAAGATGAAAATAACTTGAAATGGTACCTCGATTTACGAAAATTCGGTGGGGTTGCCACCGCCGGTTTTGGATTAGGCTTTGACAGATATATTCAATCCATTTTAGGCATCAGTAGTATAAAGGACGTTATACCTTTTCCTCGGTGGCCCCATAATTGCCAGTTATAATCTATAAAAACGTAAATTAAACCTTTACAATTAATAATCCTGTTTTTTCTACGATGTTTAATGAAATTTTAAGCCTTAACTCACCTTTTTCTGTTCTGGGACGTAACTGTCAAAAGATTTAAATTGCAGGTGGCGCAGTAATTATAACCTCATCGATAGGTATATTAAATAACAAATCCTAGTTATTCAAAATAGACATTATGCGATTTATTTGAGCAATGCTGGCAACGTTAGTATCGGTAGTGAATTGTACTCAAGCATTCGTGTGGGGCGTTATTTACTACAGTTGTCAAACCGGCCATGTCCTCGTAACCGTTATCAGAACTATCTTCGAATTCGTCTGGGCTTACATAAATGGTCTACAAAGATGTTTATGCGTTTTCGGAGAATCGCTGTCGATATTCGGTCTTGATATATTACAAATTTTGCAGAGCTTATTTTTTGGCGTCACATCAGTTACAGAACTTGTTTGTGGGACAGTGATTGCCGTCTATCTTAAAATTGCGTGGTTTTTTACCGAGTGCGCTCGATCATTAGCACTTATTTACTCCACAATCACCAACGTTATTCTAGTTTTCTGGAATACTGTGATGCAATTGATTGTATTAACAAAGAAGCTGATTCTCTTGTGTGGGTCAGGCGCGTGGTTCGCCGTAACGCTACTTCCATTTTTCTTTATATATCTCTGCTCATTGTTCGCTCAATTTATGTCAGGGCTCATTATTGAGACTTACGAAATTATTATATACATCGCCATTAGTGTTAAAAATGTCTCTCTAGATACCATAAAGTTTCTTTTAGACGTGCCACTTGAATCCCTAGCTGGACTGTTTGTAATTTTAAGCATTTCTTACGTTTTCGCTCAATTCTACACTATCACCTCGAGATGGTTGAAATTATTATTGGGCAAACTCAAAGGGTGGCTTAGAAGGACCATAACCCTGAGGATAACTGCAAGGCATGAACAGATATATGGGAGAAGTACAACTATTGAGATTGAGGTGAGATTTTGGATTTTTTATTATACCATTGAATAAAAGTCTCTTTTTTGTAGAGACGGCGCGCGCGTGTTGGCCGTCCGTTGGAGCGACTTCGAAACAGACAAGCACATGTTGCAGAGAAGTCAGAACTTGCAGATGAAAGGGCCTGTGTTATATGCCAGGAGCGTAGCAAATGCGTTTTATTGTTGCCCTGCAGACATTTGTGCCTATGCACCGAATGCCAATCTGAGCTGAGGTACTACAATGACTTGTGTCCCATCTGCCGGACTCATATTGATAGGAGCTTGAAAGTTTTTGTATAATAAAACTAAAGGGTCTATTGTTTATACATGTTTCATAATGAAGACTGTAATTTTAATTTTGTAAGTTTATATTATATTCAGAATAAATTTTACTGTGTATGCATATATATTTTTATTTTTAAAAAATTTATTACCAACTTAACTAAATCAGAAAGAAAGCAGAAAAGTAATGTTCACACATGTCCATTAGTTACCTGTTATTCTACTTTCACTATTTTAATTCTATTGACCAAGAATATTACTATCATTTAAACGATGACCATTTTATGGACCTTAACATCCTCATTGAATAGTCGTCCAAATTATATGTTTTTCTTCTTCTTTTACTTTTATTGGACAAGTTACTGGGATCATTTGAGCATTTTCCATCCAATTTATAGGTTAAAAATATGTTTGACGAAAAAAATTGTTCTGTGATTACCTCCGCTCGCTCCCGACAGAATCCGTTGTATAAGTCCCAAAAACCTGGATATCGTGTTTTTTCTTTCGGAAGTGTTTGGTGAACTTTCTAAGGTGTTTAAGACTGCTGGCGCTGCTGTTTTGGCCGTCACGCCGGTTGGATGCCGGATGGGCTCGGTTGGTCCGTGGTGGTAGCGGGAGGAGAACTTTTTTTTTTGTTATTGGTCAAAGAACAAATGTTGGTAATATTTCTTTTACGTGTTGGCCTTTTACCGACGAATGTCGGTACTGGGCGAATGACCATTGTGGATTTGTCCAACTGTTTGTGAAAAGTTTTCTCACTCTAATTCTCTCTTGTTCTTGATTTTGTGGTGGAGCATTGCACGCGGCGATTTGACCTCAGCTCGCTCCTAGCAGAATCCGTTGCATTCATCCCAAAAACCTTGATATCGGTCTTTTTTCGTGTGATTTTACATCGGTAGTGTTTGATGATCGTTTTTAAGTGTTTACTGAGGGCCCAGTGGTTTTGGTTCGTCTGCAGGGAGCGGAGGCATCGTTCAAAGTCCTTATTTGCTAGCCGAGCAAATGTTGGTTATATCTCTTCTTTTTACGTGTTGGTCTATAACTAATGGTGAAAATCCTTGACAGAAGTCGGCAATGGGCGAATGATCTTAGTAGTCTTGCCCAACTGGAATTATGAAACGCATAATTAACTTGAACTTCTTCTGCGATTGATGCCTTTGAAAATTATTTGAAAGAAAGAAATTCAAACACATTTATTTTTAATAAAATAGGATGGCAACAGATAGTCAGAAAATTAACGATGTATCATATCAATTGCTTGCATACGAACCGATACATGAGACGTCTTTGGATGTCGATATACAAAATATCATCATGGGCGTTCAAGATAATACTAAAGAAGTCTACGAACAAGCGTTGGTAAATTTCTTGGTCAAGGTAGTTTATATAGAATTTTCCATATTATTGACACCTAGCTGTGTGTAATTTTTCAGGAATCCAAAGAATTTGACATCCTAGAACTAAACAAAGAAAACAAGAGGGAAAAATTGTGGGATGCTCTACTGAAGATTTTAATCGCAAATCCCGAGAAAAGTGCTCTTTTGGCGGACGTGTTTACAGTATTTCGAATCGTTAGGTATTATGGTTTCCTGTCATCTTTAATGGAATGTTGAGATTTGTTTTTGCAGTCGTGATAAATCATCAGTTAACAAACTGGTCACAGATGAATGGATTGGTTTAGTTTTAATGCACATTGGTTTAAATGACAGAGATTATGGTTATGACGAAGTTACTCTGTGTAAAATAGAAGAAGCCCACAAGGTCCTATGGAATGTCCTTTTTAACAGCAGAGAGCAAGTTGAAGCTACTGTGACAAACAGCCTCCTGGAGAAGCTTGTAAATAGGATCAAAACATATGAGTAAGTATGGCATGCTAAGTGTACTGCTAGACAGAAGCAAAATGTTAAATTTGATGAAATCATTATTTTCTATTTTCAGTAAGGCCCCTGTCCCAGATAGCATTAAGTTTTATGATATGAAAATTATTTTTCTGATATCTGCTTTATCCATTAATGTACGACAAAAATTGGAGGACGAATTGAATGGGTTTATATGTTTTTTAAATGTTTTGCGGGTTATCCTGAGGGAAGCCGCCGAAAACTTGGCACAGTCCGATCTCCTTCCTGCCATTCTTGACGTAAAATAGGCCTTCTTTTTAAGTGTTTTTTTAGGATTCATTTAATTTTCCTCTTTTTAGGACCAAAAGGCAGAAATCAGCTGCGAGACTTTGAAAGCTCTCTTTAACATAACCTTAAACTGCTCAAGTGACGACGATTCATTAGCAAAGTACAATGAATTAGTGCGCGTACTTAGGGATTACCTTTTAGCGTCGACCGCGAGCATAGAAAAAACTTGGCAACTGCGCAATGATATAGTTAACTTATTGACCAACATACCCTCTGAATGTTATCGGGAATTGCTCACTCTTGTTGACAGTTCTGTTACTGTACCCAAGGTTTTATGTTTTGAAGGTTTGAATATGATTGTTATATATGAAATACTAATGTTCCTGAAGGCTAAGTTCAGCGATGAAACGGTAAGAGCTATTATTTTCTTATTTTTCTCATTACATGCACAGGTCTGCAAAATTAAACTTGTTGACAGATGTTTTTTTTTTAAACTGATTTTATATAATTTTGGTAGGGTGATTTCCAAAATTCTATGGATTTATTTTTATCACCTAAGGTTTTTTTGCAAATATAGGGAAAAAAACGATAGTTCTAAAATAATTTATTTCATTTATTCAGTAAAAAAGTGTAATCCCAGTTAGGATCCTAGTCAAGAATATTGTTGCAATACACTAGCGGTCTTTCCTGAGTAAACTATTGACATAACTTTTTTTCATGATCCCAGTAAAAGCTTGATATGACATGATGCCAGGTGCCAGTAAATACTTGTCACGAAGTCTGGACACTAACAATTTGGATACATCCTTTGGAAGATACAAATCTCAAATTAAATCTATTAATTCGCTCTGATTAAATACTTCGGGTTCTCTATAAATGTGGTGTGAAATCTGAGTCATCTGGGTCGGAATTAGATTCCTCTGATTCTGACAATATAACGTTTTCTAGTTCTTTTGGGACGGTAGGTATCGGTGCATCTGGTCCATGAGGAAGTGGTCGAATACCAAGGTCAAGATTAGGATACACAATTTGTTTCTTATGTTTCTGTTCTTTTTTCAATGCGATTCCTAGGCACTCGCAATACCATAGAAACACCAAAGCTTAAACATTTCTTCCTAACTTTTTGCCAGTTTTTTAAGGCTTCAACGCAAACGGAACAAACTGTAAGAAGAGCCCAGGACAAAACAAGTTATAGTTTGCCTTTGTTTTACTATGACAAACTACCACAGATGTAACAAAAGTTATTTGAATTGTTCATACAATGTCTTCTTTCCTTATACGGTTGAGAATATTAGAAATATGCAACAAAGACAACAGCCCCTAGCACAGTAGCACGACGACCAATACAACCAAACTACGTATAAGCAGGTTATAACGCTCTATTGACGCTTCTGCGCCAACTCTGTTGCTTTGCAGAGAAATCTAATAATATACAGTGTTGCCAAATCACATTTAATTTCATAAAAATCAATTCATTATATTAATATATTATATTAGTAAAATAACATTTTTAAGATATATAGCGCTATAAAAAAAATACGTGATAGAGCAAAGATATGGCTTTTTTTGGAAAAATGCCCCCCCACCCCCAAAAAATATACAAATAAGCAAACATCTTTCAAACATCAAAATCACTGTAGACCTGTGGTATTAGTCAGTTTTTTTTAATTTCTTTTTTTTGGACGTGTGTTTCAAGGGGGTGTCCAAACAATTGGAGGTTTATTCACCAGTATTAACAGTACTGCTAAAAGGTGCCACGACTCATAGACCAATAAGAAAGTTTTTACGATTGCATATATTGCCACCTCTGAAAGATGTGGACAAGAGGCCAGAGGAAACGGACACCCTAAGGGGTTACCTCTGCAAAATGCTAACTACGCCCATTACTCAGGTCAGAGACCTGGTTGCTGAGTTACTATTCGTGCTCTGCAAATGCAATGGTGAGTTGTGAGAGTGACGGGCGCATCATCAACTCCCTCGCGATGATGATTTTCAGTGTCGCGAATGATTAAATATACTGGGTATGGGAATGCTGCCGGGTTGTTTGCGCAGAGAGGTTTACTGGGCGGTAGGAAAGACAACGCGGAAGCCGATTATAGCTCCAGCAGCGAGGATAGCGAGACCGAAGAGTACGCCGAGCAGAAACACCTCATAAATCCGGTGTTGGGGTGCTTGGAGCAGCCCCACGAAGATCCGATGGCCGGTATGACGGACGAACAGGTATTTAAAAAGAAGCGACCACCAGCGGGGTTTTACCAATAACGTTTACGTTTGCCAGAAAGAGTATGAGGCCATGAAATTAGTCCAGTTGATGGACAGTTTGACTAGGTCGGGAGCGATAAAACCTTGCAGGGTAGGGGCGGATGGCAAGCCGCACGTCATTGAGCACATTCTGGAGCTGCAGCAGGGGTTGAAGATCCGCGAGGCGGCGGACGATTCCGATACTGATTAAATATTTTTTGCGTCTTAATGTCCCTTCTAACACAAAATGTCCGTCTATCTACGGGTATATTAAAACGTACAAAGCGAAAACTCTTAGTAGACGTCCTCACCACATTCGAGATTATTTGCGTAGACCATATAGCCACAAGCTACCCTGTCTATGCCAGTACTATAGGAACTTATGAAGCAACTATGAAAAATAATTTCGTTTTTAAGCAATGACCTAGCGACATTCAGGTACATGCCTAGATATCATTAAATGTTTTGGAAAAACGAGTCAAGTGTGGGAAATACTTGTTTAGACAGAAAATGGCCCAAAGTGCAGGTTAGCGGATGAAATGTAGAGGCATGCGCTGAGAATCATTACGTTCCCTTCGACAATATCACTGCCGCCTGCGGTGCATCAATGTTTACCATAGTGGAAAAATTATATTATCTGATAGCTATATGGTGTTGACGTTTACTTTAGACAAGATGGCTTTGGGTTTACCAGCTTTCAGTTTTTCAGTGTCGTCGTCGTCGTCGTCTTTGTCGATGTATCGCTCATGTGATTTAACTGCCAAACCGGTTTTCAATATTTTACTATCCCGATTTAAGTCGCAATTACCTATTGTCGATTAATATTTCTCATATTAAAGTGTGTTTACACTGTCTGATTTTTTTATTTGATTTTCGATTCCGCTTTTAAAATGTATGTATTCACACCATTAGATATTACACTTGACTCGCCCTTTTAAACAGCACCTATTATCGTCCGATTATGCAACGCGCATGCCAAACAACTCGCTAATGGTGTATTTAGAGTTATTTTTATGTTTCTTTAGTGTTTTATTTCTGCGAAGTCTGTAAAATGCCACAGACCACATTCAAAATAATCATAGTGTGTAAAATTACTATTAATATGTTATTAACAAATAGCTGCAATGTGCGACTTTCAGAAGAAACTCTCAAACGTAGTAGAGTTTTTGGAATTAGGGAATATTCCGAGTTCATCTAATACTAAATTTGCAACACTATGTCATTCGTTATGACGGTTAGGAGCCATTTTCTGACCAATAGGGCTTTTTTAAAAATTATTTTTCATTTGGCCGCACTTCCGAACTTTAACATAAATTTAGCAATGAAGTAGCAGCGATGTTTGTTATCTTTTCGTTCAAACTAATTTTTTTTTTAGACTTTATATTTTATCATGATACTACAGTTACGAAAAATGCCATTATTTCCGAATATCAAAATACAAATAAAATCAGATAGTTTGATTGTCAAAATCGAATCCAGCTGACAATCATAAGATATTTTTACGCTAATGTCCTCTAATGGAAGGTTTATAATGTAAACACACTTTTAATTATTTACATTCAAAGCGCCTTTGCGAAAACACTGTGTAATTGATATTTTGACATGCTAATGAGTTTTAACCACATAGATACCAAAAATATAGAGGCCCTGCCTACAGGAACTTATGAAGCAACTATGAAAAACATTTTCAGCAGGTTTGAAGTCTCGCTTTTAACCAATTACCTTGCGGCATTCAACAACCAACATGGCCGCTGGCAGATCGTCAGTAAGTTTGGATGAGGCATTTGTACAGTTATATTTTCTCAACATACCTAGCCCAAACTACAGGTTAGTGGCTGAAATGCAGAGGCATGCGCAGAAAACTCCCATTTGTCTTAAGATTTAATGGGATCTGGAGAGCAAGAATGCAGCGACCATGTTCGTTGTTAAATGTTGAAAGGTTTATTGGTTAAAAGCGAGATCTTAAATCTCGCGCATGCGCATGTTGAATGAGCCTTTTCAAAAAAATTTTCATAGTTGCCTCGTAAGTTAATGTATTAACGCTATAGGCATGACCTCAATGTCTGTTGTAGCTATAAGGAGTTAACAATAAATTGAAGTCATGGATTATTTATGGCATATCTTCAATTTTACTATATTTTTAATTACCAAGACCCAAGGAGCATGCGCTGCAAAAAGTTGAGGTTTTCGTATGAAATAAAAGTTGGGTGGTAATCGCAAAGGTTTTTTTGGTTAGAATTATTATTACTAATAACTTGAAATAAATGTGAAAGAATTGACTATGCATTTTTTTTGCCTGACAACAACCTAGCTACCTGATTGGATTGTAAACGTTTAGGACTTGAGAATTTGGTGTAAAATGTTTAAGCAGTCTGATTTTCTTTAGAAATATAATCACAAAAATAACCTTAACTGTCGTCGTAGCCTATGGTAATGTATAAAAATGTATTTAATTTTATATATTTTATTAATTTCAATTAAACCTTATAACTACTCGATAACAGATCGAGCTCTATGCAACGGACCTGGGGGGCTCAGCCTCTTCTACTGGTTCATCTATGTGTTCGAACCCGTAATAAAGTGCTTCCATAAACGGTTTCAGTTCCCAAGGCGCCCTATCTTCCAACTGGGTCAAGTTTATTCCCAAGTCTTCAAGGGACAGTACACCCGGCTCCACAACATCTGTTAAATGTTCCCGTTCGATTTTTTCCCAATGCAGTTGACCGATTGGCCAATTGGGTGACAGTTTATCTGTTAATGTAATTTTTAATTGGAAAAGAGGGTCCCATCTGAGATCAGTCCGTTTGTAACCCAATTCTTGGGTTTTTCTCATTACCCGGTGGAAATAATCCACAATTTCAGACAACAAATACCTTTTGGGTCTGAAAGAAGAACCATACAAAAATTGGTTAGTTTGGTTGTTAATCCCTGTTTAAATTTGCAGTCACATGTTCAGTGCAGCTAACATTTAGTTCTGTCAACAATTTTGATTTAATCAAAAAATTTTACTCACCCCACTGCCTGATATATTTTTCCCGCAGTATCGGGGTCCTTAATGGCGGCAACTATACCGGCAGCGACGTCGCTTATAAAAACGGGTTGCTTAATGGTTTTTTCCCCCTTATCATACAAGGCTATGGTTTCTCCTGTCTTTCTCCAATGGTGGGCATAATACCTGCATGTAACTATTAAAGAAAGGCAATATCAACCTATAGATTTTTACCTGATAAATTTGTCTTCTTGCCCAAAAATATCTGAAGGTCTGAATATCGTTGCTTCTGGGAATTCTTCCAGCACAGCCTTTTCCCCACGTGCTTTGCTGGCCAAAAATCGTGATCCGTCTTTAAGAACCACTCTTCGAGGTGTCTCGGATGCATTCAATGCAGATACATGAATAAACCTCTCTACTCCAGACTGCCGAGCTATCCGGGCTAGTCTTCTAGCTCCCTCCACATTAACATCATTAAAGCTGAAATTTTTGGTTTCCCAGTCGCGTCCCACTAAATTTATGACAACGTTCGAATATTTTATTGCTTTCGCTATTGATTCCTCATCTTTGAGATTATAGTGGTGAAAATAGACTTGCCCCAAATCACCTACTAGCTTTAATCTAATTGGGTTATAGCAATCGCCACGATATGGTAAAATTAGCTAGAAGTAAAGGCCTCCGTAAAAAGAAAAATCAGTATGACCAGAGAGTTATTACTTGAGTGCCTATTTTGCCTAACTGATTGCACACATAACGGCCCAAGAATCCTGTACTTCCAAAAACAGTAGCTACAATTCCATTAAAACTGGATCGACCACCCGTGCCTCTTTTATAATTAGATAAGTTTGCATAGCCATTGTCTTCGGTGCCAAAGTTTCTACATCCTACGTATGCGATGCTAACTACCCCGTTTTGTGGTTCTAAAAATTGCTTACATAACAATTTTCCAAGGCTGATAATTAGAATGTATGTTTCACGTTAAAAACATCGAAATCAACGTACTTAATGCTTTCACACTAATCGCGAATACATTCGCGGTCATTTCTTATGCTTTTTGAAAATATAGAACTTGAAAATATCAAAGTAAGGATGTACTGCAACTTGACATTTTCTGGATATTCTTTGCTTTTGAAATGATCTGTCAAAGTTAATAGTCCTTTTTCTATGGTAGAACACAGATGGTTGTCAATGGAAAACGCGAGTTTTTTAGTAGTGCTGGGAAAAGCAAATGGAATAGTCGAGTTAGCGCAGTGAAAATCGAAAATTTTCTATACCTTTCAGGTTAGGTGTTTGCTTAGAATTCCAATTGAGTGGCACAAGAGCATTTTAGTGCCTAGTTTATTGTCATTTGTTTGTCGTTGGAAATAAATTTATTAATGTAAAATATGATAGGTAATGAAGCAGCAAGATTTGTCCTTCAGCGTAATTTTAGGCTCCTTTAAGGCTAGTAATTGGGATGATGTACGAACACTGATGATAGCTTAGGAACAACTAAAATGTCGACCTCTAGCGAAGATGTGTTGCTTCAAGTCCCCAGTGTGCGCTACAAAAAAGGAGATGGCAGTTTGTTCTTAATGGATACCCGTTTAATTTGGATGGTTGAGAACCGAGACACAGTCGCAGTGTCCCATTCTTATGCTGATATTAAATGTATAGGTATGCTGCTACTGATAAATATTCACCTACAGTCAATTAATTTTAGCTCAGAAAATTTCACCAGAAGGCAAAGCCAAAGTGCAACTCCAGGTTGTTCTTCACAATGGAGTTTCATCAACCTTCCACTTTACAAACAAAAACGGCCTTCAGGGTCAACTGGCTGACAGAGATAAAGTAAAAGAAATGCTGCAAAGTCTGCTGCCAAAGTTCAAAAGAAAGGTCGACAAAGAGCTGGAAGAGAAAAACAAATTATTGTCGACCAACCCCACCTTGCTTCAGCTATATAAGGATTTGGTTATGACTGAAGTGGTAACTTCTGAAGAATTTTGGGCTCAACACGCCGTGCAGTATACTCAAAAGCACAAACAACCCCAGCAAAGCATAGGTGGGTTGATAGATTAAGCAAATCTAAATATGTTAGGAGTTTTCTTTTTGTGGTGTTTCAGGGGTCTCTGGTGCATTTTTGGCTGACATTAAGCCACAAACTGACGGCTGCAACGGATTGAAATATAATATCACTCCTGACATAATAGAGTGTATATTCAAAACTTACCCTGCCGTTAAGAAAAAGTACTTAGAAAATGTCCCTGCAAAATTGACAGAAACTCAATTTTGGACCAAGTTCTTTCAGTCCCATTACTTTCACAGGTTAGGTGATTATAACTTTTCAAACCCCTGCGAGATATAATTTTTTTTCTTTCATAGAGACCGCAAGTATGCGGAAAGTAAAGATGTTTTTACGGAATGTGGCAAGCTAGATGATCAGGAAATGAAAAAAGATATCCAAAAAGGTGTTGATGATCCCTTGGTCAATTTAACCGAGTTTGAGGATAAATCTTTAGATGAGGGATATGGGATCGCTAGGGACAAACCAGCTGGCAATATTGGAACCGTGAGTCAGTCTATGATCAAAAGATTCAACCAGCACTCGATTATGGTAGATAATTACGCTAATGTTTTATTTGATTTAGCATAATCATTTTTATAGGTATTAAAAGCGAGTAATGGTAAATCAAATGTACCCTCTGCCAGCGATAACGATAAAGCTAGCGCGAATAATACTAGCAATGTACCCGTTAACAAAAAGCAAAAAATTATAGAAAAAATAACTTATGAGGACTTGGAAAGTGAAGATATGGGCCATACTAATGGAGTTCATCTAAACTTGTCCAAAGTATGAGAATTTTTCTCAACCTAACCGCTAGTTATAAAAAAGAAACTTGTTCTTAAACTTAAACATAAAATAAAGGCCCATTATATTATTTTGCAATAGTGGTGTAATTTCAATTTAAAATTAGGTGGAAAGGTACCTGCACGGGCCTATGCCCGACTCGTCGGCAGAGCATATTAGTCCCAATGAAGCGTCTTCTGTTCTAAGAGGAGTCCTTCAGGAAACAAGACAGTGGCAGGCTAGATCTCACACAGGCAGTTTAGTCAGTCCTGCCGCCGCAGTAGGTGCTTTGGGCGAATTGTCGCCGGGAGGCGCCTTAATGAGGGGTTTTCAGGAACAATCCTTAGCACGTAATTATTTTTTTTTGCATCTCTGAAGTTGTCTATTGATGACGTTTTAGAATTGGTGCCTTCCGACATTGAAAAGGAGGTTAGGAATTTGTATTTGGCGTTGTGCGAGTTGTTGGCTCATTTTTGGAAATGTTTCCCGCCGACCACGAGCAATTCGGAGCAGAAAGTGATGAAAATGCACGAGGCCCTGCAACGATTTCAAACCGTGAAACTCAAACCCTTCGAGGATAAACTGATTAGGGAGTTTTCGCCATTATCGCATCACTTGACCAAACACCTGAATCAACTGCTGAATGCAGCTTACCAAAAGTTTAATAATTGGCAAAAGATCAAAGGCAGATAGTGGCGGAAGATAATGTTCAACGCGAATTTTTGTTTGCAGCCCTTAGCTGGTTCTTTGTGATAATTTATTATGTTTTTAGGCATTTTAATAAATGCGAGTGTCTTTTTTTTTCTGCGTTTTGCTTTTAACAAGGTACAAATCACCATCCAAAATTCGGACACCAGATTTCACATAACCACCTGCTATTCCTTAAATAGGGTTATTGGTAAATTCGTAAACGCATAATAATTTATTATAAAATACATATTGAATTTGAATAGTGAATTAAGAAGTGGTTAATATATTTTATAAATGCCACAAGTTTAAAAAACGGACTTAAAAATATTTTTTTAATTGGTTTCTTAATAGTTTTTCTTCTTAACTTTTATTACCCAAACGTATTCATGGAAGAAATACATTTCATTAGTAACTATTAATATAGGTTACTTACAATTGAAGCCAAATAGAAAAAAAAGTTGTGGAAATAGTTTTTTTCTAAAGCATAACTGCCTATTTCTCATTATCTGATCTTATATCCTAAAGTATGCCAAATGAGTATGTTTAAATCGATTTTCAACAAACGCAGCGACGATATAGTTAGTTAAGTGGGAAAAATCTAAATTAATATTATGTAGCTGTTATAGTTACCCACTGCCATTTGTCAAAATTGGTCAAGGTGCCAGCAAGCGTCACAATCAATGGAAACTATTCGAATCTCCAATAAAATTGTAGAAATACGTTGTCATTTAACAAAAATTTTCACAAAGAGGTAGGACACTAGACTCGAAGCATGATTTACCCCTCAGTCTAGTTCTAAAAAGCTGAAAAACGATACCGCTAGATGACGGTATAATTAGAACCATGAATTTGTCAAATGCCTATCCCAGGACTATCAAAATTAATATCCTAGCGCCGAAAACATAAAATAACTGCTTTTTAAATATTTCCAAAGTTAATCTAGGTCTGTTCTAGCTCTACACCTCGAGTGTGGACCGGCAGATGGCGCTGCACAATCGGCTACATTTGCAGGTAAAAATTCAACCGCCAGATGGTGCGATTGGGAGTATAAAATACAACATATTTTTTTCCAAGCGGATAGCTTCTAAAAATGGCTTTACATTTTAGCGATATATTTTTTTCGATATCGGGACCGGTTGAGATGGTGTTGCTCGCCTCGTGCCTAGGTTGGAGCAAAGTTTTTCGTTTATATGAGTGGTTGACGCTGGAAAGTGCTGATGTAACAATCCCGTTTCTTAGCTGTTTCGTTGTTATTTTTAAATCTGTATAGGGTACAGATCATATAAACCAGCTTGGAATTCGGCAGTACCCTTTCAATTTGTTCCCACATAGCAAAGACCTATTTTACCTAATGTTTTATCTGTGTTTAACAAGTGAAATAAAAAATCAGATCATTCACTGACATTCACTGGGTAATATCTCCGAAAACATCCGATTGCCTAACTAACTAACCAAAACTAACCAAATCCGTGCGGTAAAATCCCGGAAATGTCCAAAGTGGCTCGGATTCGTGGGAAAGGTACTGACGTGCTAAAGTGACGCTTCCCGCACGCTAGATCGGTGGGTAATTAGGTATTTTACAGACGGGAGTAGAAAAATATATAGAAATCACTCGGGTTTCTCTAAGATCGTATTTGGTATCGTTTGGTATTCGTGTTGTTTTACGAAAATGTACCCAAAATATCAACAGATTTTCTAAATTAAAGAAAAATTCATTAAAATTCGATTTTGATGATACCTAAACGCATATTATTACGAATTCAAGTACAGCAACTATACTAAATTTAAGTAATTAATCGGAATTGCACTCGATTTATAAGATTTTTTTTCGAATATCGCAGTTTCTTCATTGTTAAAATTCTAAGGGCAAAAACTAGAAATCAGAAAAAATCTCCGAAGTTTTACATATTTTTCGTAGTTTTTAGGCCAACGTTCGGATACACAGACAACAGAAACATTTAGTTCGGTCTCACTACGGAATACTTCAACATTGGTAGTTTTTTTCTTAGGCACTGAAGGTTTTGATAGTTTTGACGAAAGTCACTTGGTCGTTTAGCGTCAGAGTCTGGACCCGCTTGTCATCACTGCCTCGCCTGGCTAACGCCGTCCGACTTAAACGGACTTCTACTGATGCAGATAGCAGAAGTAGTGCAGGTGACGATGGCGAATCTGCTGCCGAATATTATCGAACATTCCCTTTAAATTTATTTTAGTTAGTTCAACTGCGAATTTGCACGAAGAGAAATTGATTTTTTTTATTTTTTTTTTTTAATTTTTGTGCTCTTTAATTTATGAGCTAAGCGAAATACGGAGTAGAGGTTATAGAGGAGCCCAGCTGACTCTAGAAAATATGCAAAACTATTTGTTCAAAATTTTCAGCTTCCTGTTCGGGCACGATAAATACCACCAAGTTTAAGTTTTAGTTGAGCCATTTTGCTTGTAAATTTCTTGTCTATTTCATTATTGATTAATTGCTTTAACTGATCGTATTTCTCGCCTATTTTTTATGTTAGTAGAGTAATAAGATCTCTATTTTGAGATTTCAATCTTTTTCGTAACGACCAGACTTTCTTTGTTATGGTTACCAAACATATACACACACGCGCGCTTGAAAATACTAATTTATATGTCTGTACGTCCACCACGGACGACGGCACACTTCTTTGGGTGGTATGTGGTTATGTTGAGTTATGGTTAGTCGAACCTATCGTCACCTATCGCCTAACGTGCGTCCAACGTCTTTCCAGCTGCTGCTAAAATTTCTGCGCTATCGGTGCAGCGCTTTATATATCCGCTGCGTGACGGTGGACACAGCCAGTGAGCACAATAAACAATGCAAGTAAAAAATGGAAATAATTTATTTAGAAATATAAGAAGTCGTCGAAGTCCTACTAGCAGCAGACCGCTGCCAGAAACAATATGAAAAGAAACCTAATCGTAATAATAATCTGGCAGTCTGTCGGGAACCCTGTAATGATTAGGTCTTTCCAGAGGGCTTCGTACGTCCAGCTGAACATAGTCGTCCCCGTAGTCTGATCTCCGGTATCTCAAATCAGATTCGACGTACCGAGGATCTTCGTAAATCGTGATGTGCTTGGGGGAAGGTACAGGTAAGGGGCGGTAGTGTTCTTGATAATGCGGCACCGGAATCGGATGTTGCGGGTAATAATGCGGCCTGCAAATACAACCTTAATCCAAAATTCTGCAATTTTCGTGTCGAACTTACCTTTGCTCGTAATTTTCCTCGGCGTATCTTCTACCGCCTTGGTAGTAATTATCCAAATTCCTCCTGTCCAAATCTTCCTGGTTGTAGTAGTTGTTGTTGCGGTTGTAGTTACGGCGGTTGCCGTAGTCTTTGTCGTACCTGCCGGCGTTGTTGTAGTTGCCCTGTCTCGCCTGGTCCTGGTTGAATTGGGCACTGTCCAGGTGACCGCCATTTTGGTGTTGGCGACCAGCATCACCGTAAGCTCCTATAAACCAAATCAAAGCTAAAATGTTCTGTAGATGACGGGAAGAGTCGCTGTTCCCCAGGTGGTTAGATTCGCCGTTTGTATAGCCGATGTTCTAGTTTGTTATCTCGGTGTCGCTAACCCTCTCTCCGATGTTAAATGTTTCATTAGAAAAGAAAGGAAAATATATGTAAACCGTGGGCTAAGCTCATTTTGTAGTAGCTCTACTTTTGACTGCATTGCAAGTTCGCTAATTCTTCGGAATCACCGCATGAGAATTTCGCTTCCGAAAAAGTGTCACCTGCTTTAACACACAATTATATAAAATATATTTAGTTACAAACCTTGCGAAGTCTTCCTCACCACCTCGTCCCCTTCGTCACTGCCGTCATCAAAGTAACTCGAGTTGCTTCCACTCTCGTCCTTGTGGTAGCTGTTTTGGAACCCGGACTTGTGGTGACCTTTTTTGTGGGCCACCTTCGTCCCGAAGTCCGTGTTGTGCGATCCGCCATTTTGTCTGAAGTTTTCCTCGTTGAAGTCTTTTGAGTCCAAATGGGCCTTATTATTGGCAGCCTGTTCTCCGTATCTACCGGCGTCTTGGGCGCTTACCGATTTTGTTTCGTCGTCCTTGTTGAAGCCTTCTTCTCCTTCATAGTTCGCGATACCTTTGCGGATTTGTACTCCTTCGTTATTTTCTTTTTTAGTTTGACCTTCGTTTTTGCTGATACCTAGATCCGCCAGTGGAGAAGTAGATGGTTAGTTTTGCGATTGAAATACTACCGAAGTACCCATCGTGCCGTCACAAAAAAGGTAGTCTATTGCTGATTTTTTTTGGAAATGAAACGTTATTATTTCTATACAGCTCAAGTGATATTAAAATACCAAAAATGTGCCAACCTATTGTAACAAACAAACTGTTAAAACCATATAGTTACTAGTTATACAGTCTTATTTCTTATGACTATGAAAAGAAAAACCACAGAGGCACGCAACCGGCAGAAATTGAATAGGTGTTGTCCACCAGGAAACTCCTCTTGAGCCACTCTTCAGCTTATTTTACAAAGATACCTAGAATTGTTTTTTAGATAATATTTTTTTTAACACTCAAAAGTTAATACGTTTCATAGAAAGTTTTTTCTTAAAACAAGTCCAAGAAATACCCCTTTTAGTATTGGCGCATGTTCTGCATAGAGGCCTTGTCTGTGTTGATAATTTTGAAGCAAACAATTAACATGGACGCCGGCAGATAGATATTTCAGGACGTTTCAGGTTTTCATTAAAGAGAACTATTGGTTTTAGATTGGACAAAGTTCAGCATGATTCAATTTATATGACAAACTTTTGTACGTAAATTTAGTGGAATAATCTAAGTTTAGCTGGAATGCGAGTAGTGTGAAGGGAAAAACTAACGCTGAAGAAAATAGCGTGTGGGCTTATTGAATGTCGTTCTCAACATCTTTTGATGTTTGATAGTGGCTATATGTTTAAAGCTTATATTAGAAGAGAAACATATTTAAAATAAATTGATTAGTCGGGAAAGCTACAGTATACATTTTTTTTATTATAAACTGTCACTCTACCATAATTTTTAATAATAAAGTTATCGTATGAAGTTGGCACAATATTAGCGAGTTCAATATAGCATTTTCAATATGGCATCTTGTACAACTACTACCTTTCTCATGACAGCACTACCGGTATCCTAGTGGCGTTTTTGTCACACCAAAATCTGATTGGCCTAACCCGATTTGATGACGACCGAACTTGGAGCCACGAGGCCTCCTCCAAAAATCACCACTAGAGTCACCAAGACGTGGATTGATGTGAAAAGTTTGCTCATGTCGTCTACGGCGACGTTGCACTGAGACGCGATCAGAAACTGGCAAAACAAATCGTCACTCCTGGGTTTTTATATATAGGGTCATTGTGTTTTCGTCCTTCCAAATAGCTATTATGCCTCGCATCCTGTCTTATAAGATTTTTACGGTTCGTTTCGGTCACGCCGTATTGGTTTGAATAAGGAGAATTTTCGCCAAGTAATGGTATCGCCGCCGGTTCCGACGAGCCTTTTTGTGTGTCACAAAACAGGGTCTAGAAGTGATTCGCTAGTCCAGAGGTAACGAGAAAGAGCGGTAATTGAATCTCGTGAAAAAACTAAGCGGGTTTTACCACGCAAATAATTTGGGACTTCTTGCACCTCTCATTTTCTCGTTGTTTTACTTTATCCCCTATTTGAGAAATGAGAAATAACGTTTTCCTTTGTAGTTTATTCTAAAATACATCTAAATACATCAACAACAATTTCGTCATACTAAAGAAGTAGTTTCTATGGTCGTTACATATTTGAGTCAGTGGTTTGAACATTTTTGTAGCAGAGACATTTATATAGTCGATACGAAATAGATTGTAGATCTTGGCAGCCGTCACTAACGATCACGATTATATTACTTGGGAGCAAGAGTACGCCCATACTCAGACGGATTCATGTATTTTCTATGTCATAATAGGTCAGGGTGTTCCTTAATGATATGCGAATATTTAGTTAGTCTTTAGACCATTTTCTGGGCAATTAATCCGCTTACTGCCCCGCCAGTTGATAATTTCTTTGGATGGATCTGTTTTTTTATGTGCCGAGGTAGTTCGTCTTCTAAATTGTCATTAGGTTCGACTACCATCTTCACTTCATCTTATAATTCTGCGTTGTTTTTAATGTTTCCTTCTAACAAGGGGGAATATTTGGTTCTTTCCACGGTTTTCACATTTTAAAGTGTTAAAACACAGGAACCTTCAAAAATGTTTAATTGTAAGATTCTAATAAATATTTATCTGTATTCTTATGATATACATTTATCTACCGCGAATATAATCGAAGGTAAGAACTATGTAGAAGGCACAAAAATATAAGAAGAATGTTTTGAATCGACAGGCACACAAGACAAAAATGATTATTTTCAAACTTAGCTGTAAGATGAGTATCTTTACCCTGGAGTCAAAGGTCGAGAATCAGGTACATAAATACGTACTTACTGGAAGGATTACATTCAAACACCTCCGTAACATATACGAGCATATTGCAATCACTTGTTGTTAACATAAACGCTTCACTTATTCGAAAATACCCCCCCAGCGTCAATACTTAACCAAGTTTAAAACGGTCAATTTACGTTTCAAATGAAAATCTGAAACGTAAATGAAAGTTTCTACAAATATTCGTTACGCTTAATTTCAGGCAAGACTTACTTAATGCAGAATAAATCTGTTTGGATGGGTTTTACCACGGTCTGGCGAAGATCTGCGGTTAAGGTACTGTTAAACACTTAAAACGTCAAAGCAATAAATGCACTAGAATTTTGGTAGTCATACGCTCGGGCTCACGTGAACCATCTTAAATATTATTTCTAGGCTGAAATTTATTTTTAAACCTCAATATCCGAGGTATAATGTATGAACAACATTATGTCCCTGATGGGAATACTTTTGCAGTAAGGACTCAGGGGACCATTTAGAACTGACTGAAAAATCGTGGTCCTTATTTCTTAAATTACAAGAAGGTCTTCCCAGGACTCCATTGCATCGTTGATCATGAAAAATGAATCCTAGAACGCTCTTCTGCATCTAAAAGTGTATCAGTTCATACACTCAGAAGTTCATACCCAGGGCAAAAAACTGAAAATGTTGGGTCGAAAGTAACGTCACAACCGGTTAACAAACCAAAAAAATGTGAAAAATGTCCTTATTTCCCTTTTTACAAATAGATAATGACATTTATGCATTTATAATATTTAGCAGATATGGGAAAAAAACAGTTACAACTATCAATATGGTGAAGAAATTATAAAGTATAACACTATAACCTAATTTATGGGAATGAGATTTTTATCAATATTTTTTTAGAATTTTTAAGAATTTTTCTTCACCTATACTATGAATTTTCCACGTTCAATGAAACTTTCCAGCAATCTCTCTTGGTAGACATTCCTAAAATGATTTTCATTACAAATTGCTTCGGCTTTTCCACAGTGACGTCATCAGTTGCTAGACAAAAACATTGTTCATCTCTCTTAATTCACGCTGTTTCACGTTCTCCTGCCACTCAAGTAATGCAGCTCTACATTCCACACAAACTGTAAAAAACAATAGAGATCTGAGAGAGTTACAAATAATTTTTGCGCAGGAAGCAGTGATGTTTAATAATGCGATGCTGCCAAACCCGGGAAAAGTCTGAAAATTCATTAACCAATTGATTCGCAAACAGCAAAATTTATTAACTACACTCTTCCCTGTCGTTATTTAAAACAAATCACTAGCGCGGGCATAGAATAACCCTTCGAACGTTCGCTTCTATATCCTCGAAGTTTCTCAATTAAAGAACAACGCTCGTCGGGTAAATAAAACGACCCGTTTAGTTCGATCAGTTTAAGTTCGGCGCCGTTTGTCAGTCCTGCGGAACTCCTCACGGCCGGGGGGATCGAGGGGGTCTAAAGAAAGAAAGATACAGCGGTCCTATTAGGGGAATAACAAGCTAATAATCGTTCGGGAACGGTCGAAAACAAACGTGTGATTATCCCGCTTTCGCAAACTGCTAACTAAGGTATAGCCGAAAACTCTCTCGAACTCGAGATTTATGCGACGAAGATTTTCTCCGGGAAGAGATAACTGTATCCCACCTCCTCCTTTCTTTCTCTCTCTGTCTTACCCGTTTGTTTGTGTTAATTTTAATTCTGACGGGGCACCGGTCGGGGTTTAACTTTATTTCGCAATTAAACTGAGTACCGGTGGGGAGGGGGAGGACGAAATGTCGTTTGTCGACGAGTTGTTCGTAATTCGAGTGGTCTGGCGCGTTGCATTTTTTTTCGACCAGGCTGAGCCTTGGTGCAGAACGGGCTTCGAAAAATCCGGCGTTGTGGGTTGAGTGTTTTGGTGTCTTTTCTTCACGCGTTGGCTATATGAGCGAAGCCATTTTTCCACAATTTAAAAAAAGGACAGCCACATACTCGCCACTGCGCTATGAGACGGCTGTCCAATTGTCATATAATAATAATGTACCATAGGTTTAAGTTGCTTTAGGTTACTTTTCAAAAAACACTTTCAGTTATAATTCCGAGGATTCCTAATTTTTGGGTAAACGTAATAAACCAGTAGGTAATTTTCGGAAAGGCGGCAAGTAAAAGTTTGTGCGAGGGCAAAAGGTTTTTAGGTAGATTTTATGAGGTATTCTAGTGTTAGTTCTAAAGCAGAAAACATCTCGAACAGAAAATACCCGAGTATCAATTGTTCTTCGTAATACTAGAAGAAATAGATATACGAGCATTCTGATTTCATTACCCAAATTTTTTGTAATAATTTTGGTTCAAGATCCTGCTTAACACTTGTATCAATTAAACTAATAGCCATTTCGCAAGTGCTTAAAAATGTACCCAAACATTTTCTATCTTCATTAAAATCGGAAATCATACTTAAAATCTAGTACCATCTTTTTTTTAAATAATATTAAAAAATATTCGAAATTCAACCAAGCTTTAAGTAACAGTAGATTAAGTCTAAATACAAAAACAACAATGATTTGAACATTTCCGCAAGGGTTGTCTTCTCGTCTAATGCAATTACTGGTTTCTGGAAACCGCTGACACTAAAAACGTGGTGAAATCGGGATGATTGTATATCTATTCCTTCTAGTATTAATAATTCCACTTATATTTTTACTGAATTACATTTAGTACTCTGCTCCCAGAGATGTTTTTTAAGTGGCTGGTTCTAAAATACAAGTTTTCTTAAAAAGCTATTTTTTTTTCTGTTAAATCTGGACGCTAGAAAGCAGTAAAAAGAAATCACGGAAGCAATGATAAGCTTGCGTATTTACTTTTCCTCACTTGTGAAGAAAAAGGCCACTTTCCTCAGTTTGTTGAGTTGAGTTTTAATCAATTTGATAGTCGATTGTACATATGTCTTTTTTTAATTCTTGGCAAAAATCTCCGATACAAGGCACTTCTGGAAATAAGTTGTTCTCCTAGGAAAACGATTAAATTATGAAGATTTGCGTCATATTTCCTGAAGAACACAAAAGAGCGACTCACTCAAAGGATGGTTTTTGCTTTGAAATTTAAAAATTACTTGTAAAAAAAAACAAAGCAAAAAGTAGCCGACGGTGATGATAACACTAAGAAAAAGATAGGGAGCAGCGTCACAAAATGAGAAGAAAGTGAAAACTTATGCAAGTATCAATTTTTCTAAAAATTTTCTGCCTCTCGCAAACTTCGACTCGAAAACAAGACAATAAAAAAGGCGTCCGACGGGACACTTAACGTTAGCTCGTCCAACTAATTTCAAACTCCTTACTGCCTGCAACCTTCTTAAAAATAATGTTACTTTTAATTACTTTTAAACGGTTTCTGATAATAAGTTCTCGAGCGCGAAGCGCCGTTAATTTTTATGCGGCTGCGAACTTCTTCAGACACGAGAATGTTGAAGACAACCAGCTAGAAAAATTACACAAAGCCGGCCATATCGATCAGTTCGAAAGAAAAGGAATCAGTCATTGACAAAACGCCGTCAATATCAACAAAGGGAAATAAAAGGTATGCATGTAAAACCAAACGTCTCCCCACTTTTTGGTCGTAGCATTTTGTTTACAACATTAATTGACATGCTTAATTTAACAATCGTGTACTTTTCAAACAAATTACAACTTTTTGGTAATTTGTTGTGATTTGGTAGGCACCATACATGGATACTTGTTTTTTGGGACAAAAGGTTTTAATTTCACGGTTGACCAGGATATTGAATGTTTGGATAGAAAAAAAATTGTTAAAACGATTGAGATCCTTAAGTATCATCGGAACGCAAATTATACAATGGTTTGACCTTATACATGTTCACTAGAGACTTTGCACTGAAACAAATAGTGGTGTAAATTTGGATACGAAAATTTCAATTTAATTTTTGGGGGCACAGCCAATCGTAAAATTTCTAGACCGATTGATCGTAACGGAAAATCGCTCAATAGAACGTAGAACGACCTTGTCGGTGTTAAGGTTAATTGTGGAAACACGGTGTTTTTAATTTAATTAATCTCAATTGAAAGAAACGGAGTTTTGCCGTTTGCATTCGCCACAAAGCAATTCGGGTAAAGGACGTTGTATTAATTTTGACAAGAAATATGATTATGTAGACTTATACTTTGGAAACCAAGTCTGAGAATTAGTTTTGCATTAGTACACCTCAGCTAGTAATTCAGCTTTTTTAATAGGGCACATTGTCCCATTTTTAAATCATTTTATATATATTATTTATATGGAAAATGGATAAGTTTCAATTGTCAATGTCGCGCAAAAGCTTTGTAGAAAAAAATTGCAAGTGTTTGCATGATTATCAGAAATTGGCTATTATACAGGTTTACTCAAGGTCAAGTGGTAAGGGATACAATTGTCATCAGGGAAAAATCTCTCTATATCTTCCATGCAACGGATGGTATATTATCTAACTAATTTGATGAGGGCCGATTTAGTTTTTTTTTATTTTACCTTTTAAATTATTTATGTGTCAAGTACATAATTGGCAAAGTTCTTCCTCGAAAATGGCTGGTGTTTCTAAATTTGTTGCTGAGAAACGGATTAGTCTAAAAATGAGAAAATTGTTATTCCCAATGTGTTCAAAGATTTTCATCACCAAAACTCAATATTTGGAGTTGCAAAAATAATTGAAACGTGTTCGACACTCAGCAATAAATCCGGCCCTATTTATCACCAAAGAGAAGTAGAGGAAAAAAAAAACTAATAAATGAATGAATATTGGTTACGAATAAATAAAATAATAATATAATAAATAATAAATAAAAAATTCATTACGAAAAGCTTTTATGACCAGATGGCCCGCTAGAATAATTACTCACATTGGTAGCAAAAAGGGATCTGTTCGCCGTGGCTTACTAGCATTTTAATCAAAACGCACTGATAGCTACCAATCTGCAAAAATACCCATGTCTTCTTTAAAAAAATGACATCATTCATTGCCTTACTTTAAATAAAAAGCAATTTCAAAAATACGAATTT